ACAATTAAATACACAATAAAACTAATTAAACGACAATCACTTGAATCGGGAGTCGTATTGATTAACAAAATGTGTTTCAATGCTTTCAAACCAGTCGTCAAACTATATATTCAAATACAATACAAATTTAATTATTTATAAAACTTTTTGTACATAATTTGTAAATTGTTTAAAACAATACAAACGTGGTATAAATGGCTGAAGTCGGGCACTAATGGGTCGCTATCTGTGGCCACAACTGTTTGCCGATCGGTGTCTGATTGGTTTGACTGTAAATATGGTTACAATTAGTTATAAACTAATTATATTTGAATCCAATAATGCAATACTTGATTGTTATGAGAGATTGCGTCCAATTTGTTGATGAAATTCAACTGTTTGTGAGAAATGGGAGCAAAACTATTGTCAACCCTTTGCCACAAATCCAATACTAATATACTATTCATTTGTTTGGGTTTTGTCTTACGATTCAAATGTAATTCAAAGTGAATTAAATTACTTTAAATCCAACACTCATTGCATTGAATGAGTTGTCAATTCATGTTATGAACCAATGTTTACATCAAAGCACACATAAAGTATGTCAATATATTGTGTTGTCCAGTGGGTGGGAACGTTCCGGAAATATTCCCACTGGGAACATTCCCAATTGGGAATATTTATTATATTCCGGGAATTTTTTCAACCGTATTGTCCACAATACCGATTATGCCCTAATCATTATGACTACAATTAAGCATAATTAACACAACGCGCATATTATTATCATTATGTTAATCATTGCAATGTATCATGCACATTCTATACATTCATGTTGTGTATACTTTAAGTATTTTTGTATGACGTGATCACATTTTAAGTATCACCAATGTGACCAATAATATATGATGAAATTGAGTATAGGTCACTTGTACATAGAATTTTAATAAGTTTGACTGTTGTCTGATAAACATGTAGAGAATGCAATGATATTGACATCAAAATCAATGCAAATCTGTTTCAAATGTAAAACCGAGAGAATTAACACTATTATTCTTTATGCAGTATATCAATTTAATTACTCTTAATTGAATGACTAAAAAGTAATGTTATCCACTTCCCTGCTTGAAATATATATTTTATGAAAATAGGTTTGCGCCGCAAAATTCTTTATATAATCTTTATATGTGTTAAAATTGGGAAAATACGACAAAAAATGTGACCAATCGATGAATATAAATACCATAAGTGATGGTCCATAACATGCTTAGACATAATAGAGAAGAAGATTTTGTTAAATCTTATGAATTAATTTAATTTAAGTCATTTTGTAAATTATTTGTTAATAAAAATTTAAAAGTTGCGTTTAAATGCTGTATGAATGCCAAAATCTTTGTAATTGTAATTGATAATATCCATTATAAAAGTAATTGACTATAATTTAATTTAAGTCATTTTGTAAATTATTTGTTAATAAAAATTTAAAAGTTGCGTTTAAATGCTGTATGAATGCCAAAATCTTTGTAATTGTAATTGATAATATCCATTATAAAAGTAATTGACTACTATTGTTTGATAAAATCATTTTTAGCCACAATTCATATATAAATCGTTTAATACTTTATTGAATTTAAAAACATGTTTTACTGTTAAACAAATACATAGTCAATAAATATTATACTTAATATTAACTGTAATGAAAGGGGCAATGCTGAGTCTATGACATAGGTTTAACATGGGAAATGCTAAGACTATGAGTGATGCTGAAGATTGAGCTTGGTGAGACAAAATTATATATTGATATTATACTGTAGAGGAGATGTGTAATTTAGCTAATAGCTATCATTATTACATAGACACTTGTGACTTTTATCAAACAAGGAAAAAGTTTTCCTATTCCAATAAAATTTTTGGACATTTTTTTCTCGATTTTTTGAAAAATAAATACTCTAAATTTTAATTAATCATGATACATTTTCTAGGATATGTAGACATGGGCTAGTGTTATTAGAAACTGAAAACAGAACCAAATTATCATGATTAATTCTAAAGTTATTGAGAAATTGAACTTTTTTATTGAAATGGCTTAAAAGGCTGAAAAAGCTTTTTAGTATTCATTGTAAATTGTGGTAAAAAATGAACTTGATGCAAATATTGAGGATATTAGCCAAGCCAAGCAAATAAGCCAATGCAAGTGAACCCCTACCCCATGTCCACCCCATGTCTACCTCCACCCCCACTATGTGTTGTGGAGTAGTATTTATGGGATAACTGTTGTATAACTGAATATTTAATTCATTTTAAAAGAGTGACAAATAATTGTAATACAAATATGCGATTCATAACTGCATTCATAACTGCATTGCTTTCGTGTATTGATTTTGATTGCACTCCTCTATAATACAGTACACTATAATATAGTGAACTCGATTACAATACACGCTGTACTCACTGTATAGAGAAATAGGGCACCGATTGTACAGCAGAGCTGAGCAGTGAGTTATGTTGACAGACATAACAGTAAATATTTGATGTTTTCATTCAATTGATATAATTGTCAAATAATTGACTCATTTTGACCACAATTAACACACAATCGACTCATTGTTTGGCATAAATCGCGACAACACTTAATTGTAAGCAAACAGTGATCGCAATGATTGCA